TTAATCATGAACTACATGAGATACTGATATTTATTTTTTCCAGGAACAAAAAATATTAGGTTAATCATATATGGTGCTGTCATATGATGGCTGACATCATTTTCTGTGGTTACCCTCTTTTTCTTAGTCTTCATTCTCTCTCTGGGAATCCTGTCTATTTCCATGGCTTGAACTACCTATTGGCTGACCAAGCTGATATATACTACTCAGACACAAAATTAGTTTTTTTCTTTTTTAGTAATACAACTAGCTCCAATGGTACATTCTCTACATCAACCTAATTTTTCTTTTTCCAGGATTTTCAATGTTGGCATATCATCCATTTATAGCTATTTACTATTATAATAATTTGTTATTATTATTTACTTATTACATAGGAGAATACATAATATAGTCAGGTATATGCTAATAAGACACAGTTACTCAAACCAGAAGCCAGGCCTTTATTCTAGACTACACTCACCTATAGGACCTATATCCAAGGCAGCACAAACCCTGACTTTCTTGGATCCATTTCTTTCACTCTATCCCAATTTTTGGATTTCAGCTCATTTTTATCTACCCCAGCGAAGCATCTATAGTAGTACCAATGGGGTAAGCAATTAAAAGGTAAATCCAAGGGCATTAAGAAGAGGCAATTAAAAGAATGAATTAACAAACATCAAAACACAGCACTTTCACAAAGACCAGGAGGAAAAAAAAAATCAAACACTGGAAAATATTTTTTCAGGGAAAGAAAAAGAAAAAGACAAAAGACATAAGCTTGAGAGCGAACATATTTATTGGGCGAGCAAAAGAAGAAGACACAGTACAAAAAACAAGAAAGAATTTTGTTGACACTGCGGGATAAAAACAAGAAGTGGTCATAGAAAAGAAAAAAGAATTTCTACATACGCAAGGACACCCATAACCTGGGACACAGAATTGGAGCTGTTTTTCTCATGTGGTAGAACCAGAAGCGAGCTCTTGAGAGATCAACAGGTAGTCAAAGAATAAAAATGAAAGGCCTTGAGTGTAATCTGAAATCTGCTCATGTTCATGCTTTTCTATTGGGAAGAGAGATACTGATGATTCCACTGAGACAGTAAAATGAGAGGGGCTCTATTTTTCCCAGCTATTCCTCCTCAGATCCCCAACCTCTCTCAACATGGGAGTGAGCCAGGGCTCAGTTCTCATCCTCATTTTTCTCTTTCTATATTCACTCTCTTGGTGATCTCACTAGTTTTATTGCTTTAAATACAACCTAGAAGGCTGATGACTCTTACATCTTTATTTCTTGATCAGACCTCTTCTTTCAACTCTAGACCATACATGCAACTGCCTGACAACATCTCTACTAAGATTTCCAATATGGCCCCAGCCTGGGGGTTTTCCTTGACCCCCCATAGCAGATTGTATGTGAAAGACCCCCATCTTTCACATACAATCTGCTATGAGATCCTGTTGGTTTGTTCTCAAATCCTATGGAGAAGTGACAGCTTCCCATCACCTCCCTTGGGGCTGTCCTGTCTAAGCCCATCTCCTTTCTCACCTTGATTATTTTAATTGCTCCCTGCCTATCACTACCAACTTCACTCTTAACACCCTCCATTTCATTCTCCACACAGCCTCCACAGGGATCTTCTTAAAAAGTAAGTGAGGTCATGTCACTTCCCTGTTTAAAACCCCTAAGTGACTTCCCATCTCACTTAGGTTCTCACTTAAAATCTCACTCTCAAGAAAGGAGACCTTTCCTGAGTATCAGATTTCAACTTACAACCTGCCTCTTTGACTTCTTGTTCCCCTTCTGGCTTGATTCCCTCCCCCACCCCCACCCCCACCCCCCAAAACATATCACCTTCTAGCACAAAATCCACTTTCCTTACTGACCTTGTCAATTGTCTGTTTTCTTTCATCCAAGTTAGATCCATGATATGGAGTTTTTACCTCTTTGGTTCAGCAACCAGAGAGTTCCTGAAGGTGTTCACTACACACACAATACAGTATTTAAAATGACATAAATAAAGAAAAGGCAAAATATTTTTCAAGCTGACTGGATTTTATATCTTGGGTTATGCCTCAAGAAAAGTTTGTATTTCATTAATGTGGGGATTTAAAAAATTCTGTTACACATTGGAAGCTAAAATGTTTCTCTCTGAATTGTATGTAACTAGCAAACTGAAACAAAAAAGATTGTCCTCAATATCTCCACTTTGCCTCAAGGACATTTATTATTAGAATTTCCAAATTTTTTTCAGCTGTTTAATCTGGTTACGATCTCTGTAATAGTTTAGTAATGTTAGTGTATCTGCACAGGTGAGACTTTATAAATTGTTCACAGCCAGTGAACAATTTACATCATTTAAATGTGCCTTTAAATATCATTTCCAAAGTTAGGAGAAAGAGTAACTTCATACAAAATTACTTTTCCTACCAAATGTCAATGTACTATCCAAGGATTGTGAAATCTTTTGTGTTCGTATAATCTACTAAAAGCACACTCTCATGAGAAGTGAAACACATTTCTGTAATATCAGCTTTTTATACAGTGGGTGAAAAGTTTACAGAAGCTACAGCAAGAAAATAATAATAAAAGAATTTTAAGGTTAACTTGTTTGCAACCATATTCTTTATTTTTTTTGTTTCTACTATTAAAAAAACATTGTAATTTAGGAAAAAATTTCTGTCATCCTATCAACCTAAAATAGAGAAAGAATATTTTATTTTTCCTGTGAAACTTGAGTTTTTATACATGTTGCATAATTAATTTTGTGCCTATCATTTGGTCTTAACATATTTCCCTTAAAATCATCTAAGTATTTTTTTTTTACTACAAATGATTTTTTCAAATTTGAAATGATGAGCTACATAATAATTCATCAAGTATATGTTTATTTATATAGCCATTTTCTTATAATAGTATTTTTTCTTTTTAATTTGCCCCTTTTTTGGAGGGCCATGCTTCACTAATATAAATAATGATGTTGTAAATATTTTCATAATTTAGCTTTACTCTTTTGAAATGTTTCCTCAGGATTATTCACCAAATATCAAATTACCAGGCAAAAGGAAAGCTATTTTGCACTTCTTGGTATAGCTACCGCCTTAGTGTTCTTTTAAAAGATCATATGTATTTTTAAATATTCTAGTCATATATAAATATGGCAATTTTGAACCAAATTCACCACTATTGGGTAATAAAGTTTATTTTAGAATAATTTAGATTTTTGAAAAGAGTTAAATGATACCTCAAGGTGGCTTTCATTTTCATTCTTTTATTATTAATGTAGAAGAGATATTCCATGTAATTGTCATTTATTTTTCTTCTTGGGTTATTGTCTATTCATATTCATTGCTTATAAATCCCCAGGGTGGCTTTCTTTTGTGTGTGTGTGTGTGTGTGTGTGTGTGTGTGTGTGTGAATAAACCCTTTATACATAACATTTATTTACCATCTGTCTTTTCATATTTGATGTATATTCTTTCTTATAAGACTGCTCCCTACTTAAATTTGTCATCATATTCTTACAGTCAATCTCATCTTTAAGATGTGGAGTAGATAGTAACCTTGAAATATTCTTTTGCTATTTAAAAATAAAAAGTTTGATATGTGTAAGAATAGTTGAAAATGTATAGAAAATGAAAAATAACATGATTTGTGAAACCAATAGCTCTGTGTTTAAGGAATCTGTCTGTCAGAAGGATTCTTATAAGAAATGGGGACACCCATGTTGTGCCTGATGTCACTGATACTCAGCCTTGGTAGCAAATAAGAACGAGGATCAATGGTTGAATCTGAAATCTGAATTGGAATATTACCTATGCCATTATCAAGGGAAAATATTGTAACTTCTCTGAATTGCAGTTTCTTTACATGTCAAATAGGATTACAATATGAATTTAAATAAGTATTATGAGGCTTAAAAATATTTTTTGTAAGATTCCTGGTACACAAAAAAACCTTCAACAAACGGTTTTTATTTTAAAATGCCAATTTTTAAAAAATATGCATTTTTCTTATTTTATCCTCACAGCAGGTCCATGAGGGATACAGTAGTATTTTCTCCATTGTACAGGTTAGGAAACCAAGACTTAAAATACCCAAATATCTAGTCAGTATTACACAGCTAGGGAGTAGGGCAGCAGGGATTTGAACATAGGCAGGCAGTATCCTTTCAGAATATCAGCTCCTAACTACCACATAAAACTCCTAATCTCTATGTAAAACATTCACAATCTCATTTCTATGACTTTTTTTATCATGATTTTCTCATGGCCAATGAGAATGCCAATCCCATTTTATGCTGTATAAATCCTACCCATTCTTCAAGCTCAACCTCACTTCTAGCATCTCCCTGAAGACTTTTTTTGGATAGTCATTTATCTCATTGCAGTAATTTTGCCCTTTCTTATATTTCCATAGTAGTTATCTAGAGCACTTTCATGCTACTTAGACGCTCAAATTACATTATGCCTATTTGGGTATATGCTTTAGGTATTTGGGTATATATGAACTTCCTGAGGACAGTAAATGTATTTTACTCTTGGTATTCCTTCCACACCTATAGTTCAATGAAACTCATATAGTAGATATGCTGACAACATTTACTATATGAGCAAGTAAAGATATTGAAGGCATTAGGTTAAAGCCAAAAATGTTTTTGAAAAGTAAGGAGAGGAAAATAACCAAAATATTAAATTATACTTTGAATAAAGTCAACATTTAAACAAAGTATGATAATTATATGACAAAAATTTCTTATTAGTTCGAACTACAAAGACTTAGTGTATTCCATGTTTATGCACATATATAACATTTTTCACTCAGAAAATTTAGCAAAAATCCCTAATTTTTATAATTGAAAATAACCAAACCAAATTATTGATGTTAGAATAAAATATTCTACTAGAAATTATTGATTATATACATACATATCTCACATATCACACACACACAAAGTAGACACATATAATCATTAGAAGCAATTCTGGAACAAAAAATTCAAAGTAACCTTTTTTACCTTTGGTCCTAAAGAAGGCAGCACTGATTTATCCACTTCCCTCCTTTACAACTGAAACCTAAAACCTTTATCTCATAATATTTCAGGGTCTGCCACATGAAGAAAGGAAATGACACATTTGTGTGTTGAAAACCTTTCTTAACAATGTCTTTCAATATCATGCTCATCAACGCAGAGGCTTGCAAAATCTAAATCTGTTGGATAACTCATTCCTCTTCCTATCTTGGCTGCTAAAAAAGAAAAAGAGAAGTGAAAAGGAAAAGAAACAAGGGTTGTTGAAACAACACACAGAATTCATGGCAGATTGATCTTTTCTTTTTGGGGGACTTATGTATGCCTTGTCTAACATTCATTAATTACCATTATTTCTTCTTTCGTATTATATAATGTTGGGGGGAAAATCCATGTTCAAGTGATTTGTATTTTTTCATCCTTTTCCCTTATAACTTTATCTGTAGCCTCAAACACAAAACACACAAGGAAAGGATATAATGCCTAGTTAGTAAAAGTAATGATCTAATAATGCACATGTTGGCTCTCTCTTTACGGATATTAGCATTATTTATCTTCTTGGCACCTAAGAAGTTGTTTATCTCCCCAGAAGTGTAGTGGAGGGAAGGGGTCGCAGGCATGGGGTCAGAGGAACAATGACTCACATAAAAAAAAAATTCAACATTACATTACTGAGCTAACATTAATGTAACAACTGATACTTCTAGGAGAAGGCAATTAGTTTATATCTCATAGGTGCTTCTTGGTGCTATAAATAGAAAAGGTCATAGTTTCTACAAAAAGATGGCCAAAATTGCCACATGCACCATCTCTCAGAAGACAATATTCCTAGAAGAAAGAATGCAGAATGGTGCACTGTGTTTGAGAGAGACAAGATAACCAGGTAACCATATCTCACAGCCCTTGTTAAGGTAACCACTAAAATGCTAATATAATAGTAATACAGGCATTAAAGCAAGCTGCAAACGTTCTAACCAGGCTGCTTTAAAACAAGGTAGAATCACAAGTTGATGCAGCCTGGACCAACATGAAAGCTACTCGCCATTTCTTAGCCACAGTAGTTTAAGTGGTTTTGAATGTCCTCAAGTTCTCAGTAAAGAAGAACTGAAGACTAAGAACAGAACTTACCCTATTTCCTTTAGAATTACTTGTATCTACATGTTGTTTAAGAATACAATCCTTTGGGGGTTTTTACAAAGTCTGGCATTTAAGAACCCCTTCATATATTATCAAATTGGATACTCCTATCAATACTATGTGATTAGAAAAGTCAGATTCTAGGAATAACAAGCTGAGATATCGAGTTTTCAAAATTCTATCCTAATGACTTTTCTTTTTGTCAGAATGAGCTCCCTTTCTAGTATGTCTCTATAATATTGTTCTGTATATGTCTGTTCTTCCACTCTGCTAATCAGTTCTCTTCTTGGTGACCATCACATTCTTCATCTAATCTAATATATGCTATATATATTTATTATATACAGTTATGTATAGTTTTATATGTATGATAATGTATTGTGCAACATGATATTACCTATTAGGCCTTACTCTGTGTAAGAACATCTTACCAAGGAACCACATAGAAAATGTTTAGTTCAAGCCAATGATTAATTGAAAGAACAAAACCAATGTCTAAGGGATTGGGGCTTTACATTTGTCATTTCATTTATTTCACAGCAGCTTTCCCAGGTCATTTTCCTGATTAAGCAATTAATGCTTAGAAATAATAAGTAAATTTCTCAAAATCAGAGCTGGTATTCAAACTCATTCTGATTTCAAAATTTGGCAAAATATGTACATATATTTTCTCAATATGAGGTAAGTGGATGTATTATCAGGGATCTATGAATTTGCCATCAGAAATGTTATATATAAAACTAACAACAAACCTGGGCACATTCTTGATCATCTGCATAATCAATCACCTCGCTAACAGTTAATGTGATTACATCCCAATGACTATTTTTGTTGTTGGATATATGTGTCTAGGGGAAAGGTCATCTTGTTCCTTCTGCCTTCCAATCCAACTTGATAGAGAAAAAGAAAAAGAAAAGAAATAGTCAAGAAACACTTGTGAAAGTCACAATGCAGTGACGTGGGCCCACTAAAAGACTGAGATTTAATCAAAGAACTGAATGTTTCTTATATGCGTTTGTCAATACCTTGTATGTAGTGCTTCAGTACTCAGAGAAGAACAACCAAGGAACATTCTATCATCTTTTTCTGAGTCACTGCCAACACTTATATATGGAAGTACTTTACGAAAGAACTGAATGTTTCCTAGGAGGGTTAGGCAATACGTTGCATGTAGTCCTTGAGTTCTCAGAGAAGAACAAGTCTATAACCAAGGGACAGTCTATCTCAGCATAAGTCACTCAAAACAGTTATAATATAGAACTTCTTTACGAAAGAACTTAATGTTTCTTACATGCGTTTGTCAATACCTTGTACATGGTGCTTCAGTTCTCAGAGAACAACAACATAGCAAGGAACTTTCTATCTTCTTTGTCCAAGTCACTCTAAACATTTATATACTGAAGTTCTTTATGAAAGAACTGTTTCTTATATGCGTTTGTCAATACCTTGTTAATAGTGCTTCAGTTCTCAGATAGAACAACCATATAAGCAAGGAACATTCTATCATCTTTTTCTGAGTCACTGTGAACACTTAATATATGGAAGTACTTTACGAAAGAACTGAATGTTTCTTACATGTGACTGTCAACACTTTGCACATAGTGCTTAGTGCTTCTGTTTTCAGAGAACAACTGTATAAGCAAGGAACATTCTATCTTCTTTGTCTGAGTCACTGTAAACACTTACATATGCAAGATCTTTACGAAAGAACTGAATGTTTCTTATATGCGTTTGTCAGTGCCTTGTGCATAGTGCTTCAGTTCTCACAGGAGAACAAGTATATGAGCAGGGAACATTCTATCTTCCTTGTCGGAGTCACAGTAAGCACTTACATACGGAAGTTCTTTACAAAAAAACTGAATGCTTCATATATGTGTTTGTGAATACCTTGTACACAGTGCTTCTGTTCTCAGAGAAGAACAACCATATAAGCAAGAAACATTCCACCTTCTTTGTCTGAGTCTCTGTCAACACTTACATATGGAAGTTCTTATGAATGAACTGAATGTTTCTTATATGCGTTTGTCAATACTTTGTACATAGTGCTTCAGTACTCAGAGAACAACCATATAAGCAAGGAACACTCTATCATCTCTGTCTGAGTCACTGTCAACAGTTATATAGAGAAGTTCTTTACCAAAGAACGGATGTTTACTATATGCGTTTGTCACTACCTTGTATAGTGCTTCTGTTCTCAGAGAAGATCAACCATATAAGCAAGGAGCATTCTCTCATCTTTTTCTGAGTCACTGTCAACACTTACATATGGAAGTACTTTACGAAAGAAAGTACTGAATGTTTCCTATGAGGGTTAGGCAATACATTGTGTACAGTGCTTCACTTCTCAGACAAGAACAAGTGTATAGGCAAGGAACATTCTCTTTGTATAAGTCACTGTAAACAGATATATATGGAACTTCTTTATGAAAGAACTGAATGTTTCTTACATGAGATTGTCAATACTTTGTACATAGTGCTTCTGTTCTCTGAGAAGAACAACCACATAAGCAAGGGACATTCTATCATCTTTTTCTTAGTTACTGTCAGCACATATATGGTAGTACTTTACCAAATAACTGAAGGTTTCTCATGAGGGTTAGCCAGTACGTCGTATATAGCCCTTCAGTTCTCAGAGAAGAACAAGTGTATAAGGAAAGAACATTCTATCTCCTTTGTATAAGTCACTGTTAACAGTTATATATGGAAGTTCTTTATGAAAGAACTGAATGTTTCTTACATGCGATTGTCAGTACCTTGTACACAGTGCTTCTGTTTTCAGAGAACAACCATATAAGCAAGGAACATTCTATCTTCTTTGTCCAATCACTGTAAACACTTATATACTGAAGTTCTTTATGAAAGAACTGATTCTTTCTCATATGTGTTTGTCAATACATTGTTCACAGTACTTAAGTTCTCAGAGAAGAACAACCATATGTGCAAGGAAAATTCTATTTTCTTTGTCTGAGTCACTGTCAACACTGCTATATAGAAGTTCTTTATGAAAGAACTGAATGTTTCTTGTATGCATTTGTGAATACCTTGTATAAAGTCCTTCAGTTCTCAGAAAAGAGCAACACATCATAGAATCCTCAATGTTTTCTGGAAACCAAATATTTTTGTATTTTTATAATAATTCACTCATTATTACACACAAGACTTTTATTTGAATAGTATAGAAGAATCATGCCTTTGGAACTTACAGTGTGACGTCAGGCAAGTTACTGGTTAGGTAGGGATAAGGAGGGAGAGGAGCGGATGGCACTAGGAGATGCTTTGTCTACAGTAAGAGGAAAAAATTGACCAGAGGGGGCTTCAAGAAGGAACAGATGCCATAACAAGAGGGTTTCCAAGGACTGAACAGATAGATGTTTGGTCTATGATGGGCATCTCCCAGGACTGACCAACCACAAAGAGGTAGAGAAACCACAAATTGGAGATATGGCCACAAGGGGGGTCTTTGGAGCATGCATAAAAGTAAAGTAGACAGTGTCCTCAAGTGATCTACCCTCATTAGCATAGTAAAAATCACACCTATCCACACAAGGATAGTTTACAAATGCCATGGCAGCCCTCAGAAATTACCCTATAAGGTCAGGAAAGGGGAAGGTTCCCGGTTCTGGAAATTCTCCACTCCTTTTCCAGAAAATTCATGAATATTTCGCCCCCAGCTTAAGACATTATTAGGGATAGGCATAAAAGGACAGACCCTAACCCTGGGGGGCTTCTGTTCCTTATCATAGCAGTGTGCTCTCTACCAACTTTGAGAGTGTACTATACTTTCTATACTCTGTCTTTAAACTCAGGGTTATCTCTACTTGCAGAGATAGACTCATTCCTTCTTTGGAATGTACTTTTGTTATGCAATAAAGGCTGCTTCTGTGAATTGCTTTGTGCTTGTGATTGCTTCCTCTTACTGGCCCTGCTTGTGATTCTTCCAAGAAAGGAGTCAAAGAACCAAGGAACATACAAATCCGATACCTGATCTCAAACCTTACTCAAGACCTCAAGATATTACTTAAGCTCTGTTTTTCATCATTAAAGGACCTATTAGAAAAAGGACCTATTCTAAGAAGGACCCAT